ATGAAATAATGAAGTTAAAACTGGTCTTTACTATTCCCCAGAGAACAATATCACTGTGAGGCACTAAATTACGCCAATTACAACTTGCTTAATTTGGTAATTTAGAGACAAATAGAATGGAGGAGTATGAGGCAGTATCAGTCCTCCAAAGTGTGAGCTAAAACAGATACAACAGACGCTATGGGACCTCACGTGGGTGCTTTTATAGTAGTTACATGAATTGCTTCTCTCTTATCACAAGATTTAATTCCTTTCTCACATGGAGCTAAGAACACTTCATTTCCTTCTTTGAAATGTGTAATAAAATATCATGCATATGAAACCTCTTAAAGACCCAATAAGATTAAAAATAGATCAGGATTAAATAGGGTATTAAGATTTCTACTACCAGTGTAAAAGTGTCACTTATTGTCCTATAGACAGTGGGAAAGAGGGTTTATGGTTAGGCTTTCCTTTTCTGATCTGCACAAGTCACATTGGACTTAGTGAAGTGCTCACACTACATATAAAGCAGCTGAATTTTATCTTCACATTGTAAGGTTTCCTACATCCTGGATAATATTTACCTTTTAGTGTAATATACAACCATCCCACTTAAGAAACTATTTTTATTAACCTTTGAAAATCTTTAAGCCTTACCCTGTGTCTCACAGATTCATGCTTCACTGATCAGTGTTCTATGGTTCATTCTCATCTCTCCTTTCTTTCTAAAGCCTGATAATTCTTTAAAGTTAGCTCAAGTTCACACTTACCTTCTTAATTTATGTCATGACAGATTTCAGTGTTTCTGATGCCATCTGTTTGGTAGGAAAGAAATTTCCTTTGAGAGGCAGGTGAAAGGGCAACAAAAAAGTCAGCTAGGAGGTAATCTTAGCTTCGGGCCTGTGCTCTGGAAGTGAAAAATCATTCTAGAATTCAGTGATTACTTTGCATTTTCTGTGCTTCCTTTCATACTGACCAAATTGAACATATAGCTGGGCTAGGCCTGATCATACACACACACACACACACACACACACACACACACACACACACACACACAAACACTTTGAAACTTTGCAAGAAAAATAAGTTGTCTCTCTTTAAGGCAGTTATTTGGGTTATCATGGGAGATAATCAGAATAAATGATAAATAGTAGATAAGAATATAAATGAACAAGAATATAATGAACATAAAATGAGTGATGGACCTCACCTCTTTCCCCTGGTTCCTCTTTATCATTCCTAGTTCTTGATAGAGGTAATACCATATCCTAATTAGAAATCTGTAGCGTTTTCTGAATAAGGGCTGGAGAGAGAAGCAAAGTTGGAGGAGGAAAGAAACCAGCGGTTCCATGCCTTTTAAACCTATTAGGGCCCTGTGCCAATTACTCTATGTTCCATTCACTGCCATATTAGACAGTTAGTTTCTGAGATAGTTATATAGTTTTGGTACTCCAGTATTACTGATGACATAATGATCCTGCAGAAGATTTGGCAGTGGCCTACCAGAAACATTTTAGGGCTGTGGGTATTTTGATGTCCAGAGTGGACTCTTGGCAGGGGTGTCTAAGAATTAACACACAACTGCCTGAAGATAACAACAGGTAGGAGACCCAGAGATACAAGCATGTCAGTGCTTAGTGAATTAAGAGAACAGTAAGGCGAGACTGCATTTGGCTTAATTGTTAAACATAGTTGTACTCTCCTTCACTGCCTTGCCTTATCATGTGAATTAGTTTCTGTTTTCATTTTATGCCCTTTGGAGCATTCTTTGCTGCTTTTGGTTCTAGTCAATCTAACAAATTCCCATCTATTCTTTTGCATTTATTTTGTTCTCCTGTTATTCTTTCAGGATGTTTCCACTTTTAGGTTAGGTTATGAAAAGAGAGCAAGTAAGTTGAGTTAAGTATATCTATTTTTTTCCTTGGTTAAGTTACACACAACTTAATGGCCTTGGCTGTTGGTGATACCTTATTATCTGAAGATCCTTATTCTATTTTACATAATAGACTAGCATAGATAGAGATTTTAGACTCTTTTAATTACTATTTATAAACCTTTCCCCAAAATAGGTCTTTTAAACTGCTTATTTTCTAATGCAATATTTCTGATCAGAAACTTTGGGTAATTTTTTGTATTATTCATTGGATGTAGCCCAGACTCCTTCAATGGCCATTTAAAATCCTTCACAATCTTGTCATAATATGAAACTTCAGTTTTATAAGCTATCTCTTCTCTAAACAATAAATATTACATATCCATTATGCATGACTTGATTTACATGCTATTACTTAGAAAATTCTTCCTTTACCCCTTATCCTGTATAAATCATAATCATTCTGTGAACCTAACTCAAACTTCACTTACGTTACATTTTAACTCCAAATGCTTCCTTTTACTTCTGAAATTATATGTAATTTATTATCCTTATTATTCATTTTAATGCTTTTCATGAAGTCTTATTTGTAAACTATTTTCATATATCTACTAGATTGAAAATATAAGAAAGTGCCCCCCTTTTTTTTGCTGTTATTACTACTTGTGTGGCTTTTCCAATAGTAACTGCTTAGGAAATACTTATTGTTTGATTACTAGATTAATATAACAGAGTATTCCTTATCAGGTATAGTGTAGTGTAAAAGGTTTCCCGAGTCTCCCTGTCAAAAAATAGGTCAGGTAAATGGGTTAATGCAGATGATGTCCATTAAGACCCCAAAGGTAGGTGAAATAGGCATGTCAGGAGATGATGCTTTACACTAGATTTCTACGTTCAACATGACACCCTATAATCTCACCCTAAAAGTCACTCCATATTCCCTTTCAAATATATTTATTCACAAAATATATCTATTTTTGAATAGATTGTATAGAAAGTATTTCTCAGTCTTAAAAAGTTCAAACACTAATTTGGGGATCCAACCCCTTTCCAGCTTGTGGTTCTGTCACACTCAACATGTGGCATCTGAAATTGCTCTAGTCATCTGCCTCAGGCCAGCCAGAAAGAAGATCAAAGCTATGAACATAGAGGAGGAGATTCTTATGGTACATTATATGGGTTGGCTCTGTGTCCCCATCCGAATGTTATCTCGAATTGTAATCCCCATAATCCCCATATTTTGAGGGTGGGACCTGGTGGGAGATGATTGGATCATGGGGCAGTTTCCCCCATGCTGTTCTCCTGATACTGAGTGGGCTCTCATGAAATCTGATGGTTTCATAAGGTGCTCTTCCCCATTCACTTGCCTGCTCTTGCTCACTTTCTCTCTCTCTCTCTCATCTGCCACCATGTAAGACGTGCATCTTCCTCTTCCACCATTATTGTAAGTTTCTGGAGGCCTCCCCAGCCCTGCAGAAGTGTGAGTCAATTAAACCACTTTTCTTTATGAGTTATTTGGTCTTGGTTATGTCTTTATAGCAGTGTGACAACAGACTAGTACAATACATTTCAGGAAGTAATATATCACTTGTTATCACATTTTGTTGGCTAGTGCTTTGTCATATGGTCAGTCTGAAGTCAGCTAACTAAAAAGGAGTCTAGTAAAGTTAGTCTGACTCTAGACCCCAAAATAAGAGGGCATAGGTTAAAGAAAGAGTTTTATGTTTCTGCAACATCTGTCTACTAATGAAACCTGATTTATTTTATGGGTTTTAAAACTATGTAATACTGGTTAGCATTAGGGACAAATATTATAAGCAGAAATCCTAAAATTTTGAACAAAAATTTAAGAGAGTTTTATGATAGCTTCATGCACTTACCTATTTTATTTATTTAGAGACAGAGTCTCACTCTATCACCCAGGCTGGAGTGCAGTTGCATGATCTTGGGTCACTGCAACCTTTGTCTCCTGGGTTTAAGTGGTTCTCCTGCCTCAGCCTCCCCAGTAGCTGGGATTAGAGGTATCTGCAACCATATCTGGCTAATTTTTATACTTTTAGTAGAGATAGGGTTTCACCATATTGGCCAGGCTGGTCTCAAACTCCTGACCTAAAGTGATCTGCTCACCTCAGCCTCCCGAAATGCCAGGATTACAGTTGTGAGCCACCACACTCAGCCATACTTACCTATTTTAAAATAAAAAATGCTTATGCTACTTTGAAATAAAATTAAAATCTCTCTGGCTTTTAAAGTTATATACATGATAACTTTTTATATAAGAAAAATGGCAAAATAAATATTTTGGAAACACTTTACAGCTAGTGCTCGACTTATGACCATGATTGGTTCTGACAGACTGGTTGTAATGTGATTTGGTCGTAAGTTGAGTAGGCTATATGTACAGTACAGTACTGTGAAATGATGTTATAAAAATCTTTAAGTCATATTTTATCATAATTTTCTTTCATTATTGTTATATATCATAATTTTCTTTGTTCATTTTATACCATTTGTATCATCTCTACACCATTTTGTTTCTTATTTTTACATTCGTCAGGTTTAAGTAAAACACTGCATTACCAGTACAACTGGTTTAATATTTGCAAAACATACAAAATTACAAAAGACAGGTGCATACAAAAATACAAAATACAGGTGTAAAAAATACCATAGGAAACATTTTCCCAATTGCAAAACATATCAAAATATATAAACATGTACGAAACATTTTATTGGCCGCTGGTGCTTGGCTGCGGATCGTTGATGTCATCATCTGAGGCAGCAATTTCTCCATTTCGCGGATGGGCCTGCTTTGTTGCTTTGTTATAACTGTTGATCACATGGGTGCAGAACCTTTCACAGCTTCATGAATTCTTTCTTTATCTTTCAAAATTGTCGACACAGTCAAGTGTGATAACTTCGTATCACATGCACTTTCTTTCCTCCTTCGTACTGCTTAATTACCTTCATTTTCTTGTCGAGATCGATGGCCTTTCTTTTCTTCTTGGCAGGCTGAGGCCTAGACAAAGGCAATTTCCTCTTGGTAGACATCTTGCGAGGGGTTTGAAGAAAAATATCCAAGACACAAAACACAAATTGCTGTACCGAGTCTGGGATAACAGTTGAAATGGTGCACACGGAGATGGTAGTGCTGCCGGAAGCTGGTCCACACTGTCGTACGCCCAGCTGGGCAACGTTTGCGCTGCCACATGCGGAGCAGTCGTGGCTAGCGATTGTGGTCGTAAAGTTGAATGGTCGTAAGTTGCATAGGTCGTAAGTCAATCAATACCTGTAATCTTAATTCTTAATTAAGAATTCTTAATTTTTAATCTTAATTCTTAGTTTTGTATTCAAAGGTTGAAAAACTTGCATTTATGAGATGTTGAAGTGCTGTGGATGATAAAACCAAGTAGATGTAAAGCATTCTGTTGTATTGTCAAAATATCTTTTAATACATATTAAAAGAAATTCTTCAATTTTTCTACTACAGAACTATAAAAGAAACATGCTTTGCATAAAGACACACATAAATAACATATTTCCATTGATATTTAACCATTCTAAATACAGAGAAAATTTTAATTTAATAGAGGCCTATTTTCCAAAACCCTAAAATGCTAATTATCAAATAAAGCATTAAACCCTTTAGGGTTTATGATTTTAGGGGATATTATCAAATAAGATAATAACCCCTAAAATGCTAATTATCAAATAAAGAGACAGGGATATAAGTCTAATTAGAACTTGCTTTTTCTCCATTCGTTAAAGAGAAAATAAAGATCAAAAAATATTTTCGTTTTGTCTCTTACTCTATGCTCTTACTTCGTTCCCCGTGCCCTAATTCCCTATGCACATACATAAGACAATGAAATAACCTGAGTAGTAGAAGAAAAGCACACACATATGCTGGCAGTATTTTTATTTTTTTATTTACACCGCAACAAACAATATGAACCGTAAATGAAACAGCAAAAAGCAGTAAATGTCTCTGCATTCTGTGACACAAGTGTGTAATATATTTGCTTTCTTCTAGTAACATTAAGTATACAAAATTATTAATTGTTTTAGTTGTGATTCACCTTGAATTCCTACAATTACAAAAAATAATATGTAGTCTTCTTTCCTTTTAAAAAGTTGAGATCTAAAAATAGTGTCACCTGGGGCCTTATACTTCAACTGTATAGAAACGGGGCATCACAGCTGAACTTTGAATATTTAAATTTGATATCCTAATTACATTATGCAAATGTAAAACTGTACGGACTAAAGTATAATGAAGGATTGATGTGTATTATTCAGGTCTGTGTTTACCATTATGTGGATTTTAGTATTAATATCTTTATTAAATAAAGAAAAAATTAAAATGCTGTTTAGAGATTTAAAATATGTAGTTATGTTTGGACATCCCAAAGAAATGCAAACAAAATGTCCAGCAGGTTCTAATCATTGAACACTGTCTTGTATTTATAAAATTCCTCAAGTTTATGTTCCAGAATTCCTCATGCAAACTGACGTCTTTTGCATGCCTCACTCTAAGTGACCACAATGTACTGTGAAATAATTATGCATGTTTTTATACTCTGAATTTCACAATAATCAATATGTACTAGGAGGGAGAGATGAAGAGAAGAAGTTAGAAGAATAATTAAATAATGCAGAAAATTCTGCCTACTATTGTAGTTAAGGTATTTAGGATCTTAGTTGAATCTATTAAAGAAAATAAAATTTTTGCTGGGATGGGGTAGGGGGCTGGGTGTTAGTTTCAGAGGAGCTTTCATAGTGTGAGCATCTTGCAGCCTGATTGTAATTTTAGTGTTTGAAGATTCATAATTGAGATACTAATGGCTCCAAGTGCCAGTCAAAACTTCCATCTGTTGCCAGCTGACAAAACATCTGTCTTATCCATCGTTGGAGGAAAAGCTAATTTTTATCCCATAGTAATTTAATTATATACAACATAGGAATTAAGGATGGACTTGATAACATTTACCCTGTGTAAGATGGGATTCACTGTAATGGATATTTATAATGCTATATTATTTTTCTATGATCCACTTATATGTTTACATAGTTCCTTATATTTAGTAGATTTATTTACATTCTTCTCTTTATCTTTCCAAAGAAATTCATAACTATTATTTCAGCATTATTTATATATCCCATTCTTCATGTTTTTAATTGGTTCACTTATGATATCCAAAAACTAGTCTTTTTAACCATCGCAAGGCAGTGAGATGTAAGACGTGAAACTAAAAAAAGGTTTCTTAAATTAGCAAAGAAAAACATCAAAAATTATCAGCTTCAGCTATTACTGGAGAAGGGTCAATAAATGCACAACAAAATTTAGGAAACATTTTATATTTCCGAAGATGTACAGAATACTATTATGAATCATCCAGTTTAAGAAAATGTTAAAACATCGAAATAATTCATAAATATTTGAGCTTAAAGTTGGCTTTTATAATTGGATAAAAACAGCAAGAAAGAGAAACATGGGAAGTACAGTAGGGAACTGAGAAGGTTAGGTAAGCTTTGTTTCCCCACCCAAATATCATCTTGAATTGTGATCCCCAGGTATTGAGGGAGAGACCTGGTGGAAGGTGATTGGATCATTGAGGCAGTTTTTCCCCATGCTGTTCTCATGATTGTGAGTGAGTTCTCATGTGATCTGATGGCTTTATAAGTGTTTGGCAAGTTTATCCTTTACTTGCTCTTCTCTCTCCTACCACCTTGTGAAGAAGGTGCCTGCTTCTCCTTCTGCCATGATTTTAAGTTTCTGGAAGCCTCCCCAGCCATGTAAAGCTGTGAATCAATTAAATATCTTTTCTTAGAAATTACCCAGTCTCAGTTATCTCTATAGCGTGTGAGAACAGGCTAATACAGAAGCTTTACAATAATAATGGTCACCAAAGTAAGTGTTATGGCTCTTGCTTGGGCTGACCCACATAGGGCTGGAGGAGTTTAGCTTCCTGTATTTTATATATCATTTAAGTATTTTTGAATGTTTAAAAATAAGCTTAATATTTTAATATAGTATTATGTAAATTAATACTGTATATTGGTATTATTGCTAAATTATATATATTTGGGGTCATCCTAAATTGTTTACATATGTTGGTATATGTTCATTTTGGAGAATGGAAGCTAAATATCAATACTCTGATTAAAAGGAATGTCTAAAAGAACCTCATGGGAACATACGAAAATAAATCTTTACTTTTTTTTTTGTAAGCATTTCTTACTGCTTTCAATATGATTTGTATTTTTTCTTGTAGATTAAAATTATATTAAAGTTTCAGAGTTTATGTTTTAGCAGTTTGCTGTATTATTAAAAGCTTTACCTGGAGCAGGTTATGATGTATAAATGCTTGCAGAGGCTTAGAGGCTGAAAATGGTGTTGTACATCTTATTAACATCATAGCATACTCATGTAGGTCATAGGCTACAATCACAATTCCACTGTCTTAAAGTTTGGAACCTTATGGATTTTTAAGCATTATATGACCTGCAGGAATTCACCCTACATGAGACCTATATCTATAACAGAGAAAAGTAGGCAATGGGTTGAAAATGTGACAATAAGCTGACATAGAATTCATAATGTTTCTGAATTCTTAAATTATCATACAGATAATTATTGAATTATTAAATTGAATTATTAGATAAGGGGTTAGCCTTATGGATATTCTACAGGCCTTACTGATCTGAGTATTTGGAATGGACAAGGGTAAATAAAAGGACCTCTGTTAGTTGCAGTTGATCACATTGTAATGTTAGTCAAATATTATTATTACTTATAAGAAATTATTTGCAAGTACTTTGGTTATTTAAAAGTTATATGAGCCTTTCAGCTTCCCATTAAATTGGTTTATGCTTCCACTTTTTATCAATAAAAAGTAAGGTGTCTTATAAGAGTCACAGAGAAAACTAATGATGAACTAGGAAGAAAATTTTTTCTTCATTTCTATATTATTTGTCCCTGAGCCAAAGAGGAAACCAAACTCAAGTTTAAAAATTAAAATGCTACTTATATAATTTTTATTTAAAATTTTACTTTTGAAAAATCTTTATTTTCTTGTAAGCTATATTTTTATGTACATATGACTATTTTAATCCATTTTTAGTGGTATATGATTATTATTATTATTATTATTATTCTTATTATTATTATTATTGAGACAGAGTTTCGCTCTCGTTACCCAGGCTGGAGTGCAATGGTGCGATCTTGGCTCACCGCAACCTCCGCCTCCTGCGTTCAGGCAATTCTTCTGCCTCAGCCTCCTGAGTAGCTGGGATTACAGGCATGCGCCACCATGCCCAGCTAAATTTTTTTGTATTTTTAGTAGAGACAGGGTTTCACCATGTTGACCAGGATGGTCTCGATCTCTCGACCTCGTGATCCACCCGCCTTGGTCTCCCAAAGTGCTGGGATTACAGGCATGAGCCACTGCGCCTGACTATATGATTATTAAAAAATCTAAGTTGGCTTTCATGGGTTGAGAATCTGGCTAATGAATAGAGAATTCCTTTTCAGGATATTGTTAAAATTATTTCAAATGCATACGAGGCTTCAAGTTTCTACTTATTTTCAGGATTATTTTATTTTATTATTATTGATGAGCTACAAAAACAAATAGGTATGAACTTTGAATCACAGTTCTCATATACAGTATCATGATGCATACTTATCCTCACAGCCAGGCAATGTATTTATATTTACCGCTTGGTTTGCACCTCCTGTTCTCAAGGAACATACCTCATCTTTAATCTTTCCATAAACCCTACAAAGCAAGGACACCAAGGCTTACAGAGAATATAAATCTTTGACCTCACAAGTTAGGAAGTGGCAGAGAGCTAATTTACATGAACATGGAGAGCATAGGGGCCAGGTCTGACTCCAGACCCTTTCCTCTCTTCATTACACGGTGTGGTCTGCCACCCTGCTCTCTCAAATAAATAGAATTTTGTTAGAGAAAATTTATTTCTACCTAATTTGGGCATGATAACAAACCTACTCAGATGTTTTATGGGCTTTTTACAAATGCAGGTATAATTCTAGAATTAGTCACTTACTTTGCAATGTATCATGGGTTTAATTATTTATTTATTGTTGATTTATTATATCACCTTAGACAGTATCTTATAGGTGAACTTGACCTCCTTGTACACTTTACATTTAAAAAAGTTCAATTAAAATTATTTTTATTTATTTTTTCTTCCAATTTTTACTCTAGTTCCAAATACATGGTTTGCTACGTGGGTAAACGACAAGT